TTCATCTGTTGATTAACACTTAGGTTGACTCCATATTTTGTCTATTGTGAATAATACTCCAGTGAACATGGGAGTGCAAGATATTTTTTCAACATACTGATTTCATTTCCTTTGGATGTATACCCAGGAGTGGGATTGTGAGATCTGTTCTATGACTTTTCCAACTCCTAGCCTTTAACCATGATGTTTCTTTTGCCTAGACTAATATTCCTCTGTATGTTTAAATCTTACTCATGTTTTAAGGTCTAGTTCACATATTGTTATTCTCTAAGACTCTGGCCCCCAACCCCCGGGACTGCAGACCAATACTCGTCCATGGCCTGTTAGGAACCAGGCCACACAGCAGGTGAGAGAGGCAGGCAAGCGAGCAAAGCTTTATCTGTATTTATAGCCACTCCCCATCACTCACATCACTGCCTGAGCTCCGCCTCCTGTCAGATCAGCCTTGGCATTAAATTGTTATAGGAGTGCAAACCCTACTATAAATGGCACATGCGCTCCCTATGAGACTCTAACGCCTAATGATCTGAGGTGGAGCTGAGGCGGTGATGCTAGTGCTGAGGAGTGTCTGCAAATACAGATTATCATTAGCAGAGAGGTTTGACTGCACAGAGACCATAATAAATCAATTGTTTGCAGAATCATATCAAAACCCTATCGTTGGCAGGGCGCAGTGGCTCACACCTCTAATCCTAGCACTCTGGGAGGCCGAGGCAGACGGACTGCACGAGGTCAGGAGTTCGAAACCAGCCTGACCAAGAGCGAGACCCCGTCTCTACTATAAATAGAAACAAATTAATTGGCCAACTAATATATATAGAAAAAATTAGCCGGGCATGGTGGCGCATGCCTGTAGTCCCAGCTACTTGGGAGGCAGAGGCAGCAGGATTGCTTGAGCCCAGGAATTTGAGGTTGCTGTGAACGATGTGATGCCACGGCACTCACTCTAGCAACAAAGTGAGACTCTGTCTCAAAAAAAAAACAACAAAAAAACCCTATCATTGAGGGGCGAGTGACAATTAAGCTGCATCCAGTGGCAGGCTTTATAGTGGCAAGTGAGTTGATGTACTTTAATTGTACAGTTGCATCTGGTAGCAGGCTTTAAGTCAGAATCTGATACTTATTTTAGTCCACGCATGACCCGCCCATTATTTTATTTACCACCTGCACCTTTTCCCATATTTTGCACTTGTTTCAGTCACAGTTTTAGTAAGTCCACAAGCTAACCCTAGCAAAAATGAACTGTAAAGCTTCACTGAAAAGGGGGAAAGACCCAATGATGAGAAAGAAGACTCTAAGACTGCCAACAAAATGAAAGCTGCATTTAAAAGAAAATACCAAAAGTTCTACTTAAATTGTAGAGTCATTGCAAAAGGTGATTCACATTCTCCAAGCCCATTTTGTGTATGTAGCAACCGGCTATACAAAAAGCCATGAAACCTTCAAAACTGTTTCACCACAGAGAGACCAAGCACCCTGCATTAAAAGACAAGCCTTTGGGATTTTTCAGAAGAAAAAACCGTGAACACAAAGAACAGAGGCAATTATTGAAGGCCACCACTTCATCCAATACGTCTGCACTGAGAGCATCATTCTTAGTGGCTAACTGCATTGCTAAAGCTAAGAAGCCTTTTACTATTGGTAAAGAGTTGATCCTGCCTGCGGCTAAAGACAGTTGCTGTGAACTTTTAGGAGAGGCTGCAGTTCAAAAGGTGCCATGTATTCCTCTTTCAGCTAGCACCATAACTAGACAAATTGATAAAACAGCAGAGAATACTGAGGCATAATTGTTAGACAAGATTAATGAGTCACCATGATATGCAATTCAGGTTGACGATTCTATCAATGTTGACAACAAGGAAACAATGTTTGATGTGATATATTTTTCAGGAGGATGTGCATAAAGATATATTATGTGCACTTTTTTTGCCAGCCAACAACACAGCTGCAGAACTATTCAATATTCAAGTCTTTGAATGATTACATATCAGGAAAACTGGTCATTTTGTGTTGTTATATGCATGGATGAAGAAGCTGCCATGACTGGACAGCTTTCTGGTTTCACTACTTGGATCAAATGAAGGTCACTTCTGAATGTGAGTTTATGTACCGTGTCATCAACAGAGAAATGCTGGTTAGCTGAAAATGTCACCTGAACTAAACAATGTTTTGCAGGATGTGATTACAATTATCAACCACATTAAAGCACATGCATTAACTCAGTCTGTTCGCGCAACTCTGTGAGAAGATGGACGCACAGTATACATACACACACGTCTTCTCTTTCTAAAGGTAGATCATTGGTCAGAGTTTCTGAGTTACGAGAGCCACTCCAGATATTTCTTTTAGAAAAACAGTCACCACTGGCAGATTTCAGCACATTTCAGTGACACAGAATGGGTCGCAAAACTTGCTTACTTGTGTGTCATATTCAACTTGCTCAACGAACTCAATCTGTCACTTCAGGGGAGAACGACAACTGTGTTCAAGTCGTCAGATAAAGTGGCTGCATTCAAAGCCAAACTGGAATTATGGGGGCGATGAATGAATACTGGGATTTTTGACATGTTTCAAACATTAGCAGAGATTTTGAAAGAGGCTAATAAGCCAGGACTTTCTTTCTCCCAGCTAGTGCGTGATCACCTATATCAGCTTTCAAAAGAGTTTGAGCTTTATTTCCCAACCACAAAAGACCCCCAAACTGGGAAAAAAATGAATTTTATGACCCATTTGTGAATAAGCCAGGTGAACTGACTTTGTCCATGCTGAAAGAGGATAAACTGCTTGAGATCACAAATGACAGTGGCCTTAAAGTGTGTCTGAGACAACTTCAAATATACGTCCTGCATTAAAGTCAAGGTGGAATATCCTAAGATTGCTACAAAAGCACTGAAAAGCCTACTTCCACTTCCGACATCCTATCTTTGTGAAGCAGGGCTTTCTACAGTGACAACAACCAAAATGAGATTATAGAGTAGACTGGACAAGCAACACACTTTGGGTGTCACTGTCTCCTATCACCCCCAGATGGGACTGTCTAGTTGCAGGAAAACTACCTTAGGGCTCCCGCTGATTCTGCATTTTGGTGAGTTGTATAATTATTTCATTATATATTACAATAAAATAACAATAGAAATAAAGTGCCCAGTAGACATAATGTGCTTGAATAATCCCCAAACCACCCCTGTCCTCCACCCCGTCCGTGAAAAAATTGTCTTCCATGAAACCAGTCCCTGGTGCCAAAACAGTTGAGGACTGCTGCTCTAAGACAATGGGTCTTGCTCAGCTGAAAGTCAGAGCATCTGAACTCCTATAGGACTTCACATGGGCTTCTCTATGGCAGTGTGTCTCTACTGTCTAACTTTAAGGGCATATAAATCTCCTAGAAATCTTCTTAAAATATAAACTCTGAGTCAGCAGGTCTGAGCGACTGCATTTCTAGCAAGATCCTAGATGATGCTGATATAGCTAGTCTGGACAATTTGAATATTAACCTGTTATGGAACAGACAAATTTTTGCCAAGTGCTCTGGTTACCTTAGCTAACTGTTCCCATGTTTCTATAAATGAAACAAGGATCTCTATTTTCTACTGCAAATTGCACAAGAGACATTCAATAAATATTTGTAAACCTAACACTGTATAATGTGTAAATGTGTTTTTTCAAATTGCAGGTTTTCAACCCATTAGTGGGTTTTCAATCTATGCATATATGTGACTGTGTATATATAAAACTAAAACAAAAAAGACTCAAATGAGAAAGAAAATAGACTATATCACATGTAATAGGGTAAATATTGTTTTATAAGACTTCTAGTTGCAATTATATACACATATGCACACATTTGTATGTACTAGGTCAAAATGTAAACCCTATATTTTATGTAGGTTTTGGTCTCAAAAGTTGGAAAATATATATTATGGGTTGAATTGTGTCCCCAAAAGATATGCTGAAATCCTAACCAGTAAAAGATTGGAGTTATGCTGCTCTCAAGCCAGAGAATGCTCGTGATTACCAGAAGCTGGAAAAGATAAGGAAGAATCCTATAGGCTTCAGAGGGAGCATAGCCCAGCTAACACCTTGAATTTGGACTTCTAGCCTCCAGAACTATAAAAGAATAAATTTCTGTTATTTTAAGCCCCCCACTTTATGGTAGTTTGCTATGGCAATCCTACTTAACTAACACAAAATGGAAGATACCTTTTATCCTATTTTAATTTTTTTTGTAATTTCAGAATTGTAAAAAGAACATAAATCTATGAATGAAAATATTATCATGGCCATATACATTTTAGCACACAATAAACATTTTCAGGAGATTTTGCAAAACATGACTATTTTAACATTCTCATATAAAGTGATCTTCCCTACTTACTCTTCTTTACATCACCCTGTTTATTTTTTCATAGCACTAATCAAAACATATTATGTTGTGTTTATTTGTTTATCTTCTGTTTCCTATACCAGAAAGGAAGTTCCTTGAAGACAGGAACCTTGTATGTCTTGTTTTTTTACCATATCCCTGGTGCATCATGGCATACAGATTTTCAATAAATAATTATTAAATGAAAAACTGAAATGTTCATAAAATAAATTATACATAGCAAGTAAAAAATGCTGTTATTATTGTCTATACCTCCCTATACTCCCCTTCCCTTCCAAAAAAAGTCCCCTGAAAAATGAAGAGATTTCAAATGTTCAGTTGTATTACATGGTCTACAACAGGGGTTGGCAAACTCAGCCCATGGGCCAAATGTGGCCAGCTGCCTATTTCAATAGAACCCAGACACATTTATTCCTTCACATATTGTCTATGGCTGTTTTTGCACTACAACAGCAGAGATGAATAGTTGCAAGAGATTGAATGGACTGTAATGCAAATATTCATCATCTGATTTACAAAACAGGCCTATGTTTAATTATTTATATTTATACACTTGGCATCTAATCATACATATTCCAATGATTATAAAAAAACAAATGTTGGAAGCAACTTTTACCTTATTATAATTCTTGGCTAATTCCAACATCTCTTTTACCACTGATTCATTGTGTTTACAATGTTCACTGTAGTCCTGAAGTGTCAAACCTTCCATCCAACTCTTCTTGTGCAAATTTAGCAACATCTAAAAAATACAAAGAAAAAGTAATTCTTTTTGTGCCGTAAGGATATTCCCTTCACTTGTCTTGAGAAAAACTTCACAAAAAGCTTTTGGAATTAATGAATTTAAATTTAATTTTATTAATTTAAATAAACTCCAATTAGAATTCTCCTAAATTTATATTACTAATAATATAACCTAACCTAAGGCGTGCTCCCAGCCCATGGCCTTTGTATTTGCTGTCCTTCTACCTAGAAGGCTATTCTCATCTTTGCATGACTCACTTTCCTCTCTTCCTTAGAGATAGATGCCTTATCTTAAACAAGTCTTTTTTTCTTAACCTGTTTATTCCATTTCTGTCCCACTAAAGGGGAAATCAAGAGGGCAGGGACTTTAGCCTGTTTATTTCAAGATCACCAGGATCTAGATTCTAGAACAATATCTAATGATAGCACTCAATAAATATCTGTTGCATAAATTAATTAAACTCTTATGTCACACAAAGGATCTCTGATTTTTCATATAGCCTAGGTTTCAAATGTCAAGATTAGATGGCAAATGCCCTATTTATTGAGTGACCTTGTGACACTCTGAGCCTCAATTTATCTATGATTTAAGGGCTTGTATCAGACAATCTCAAAGTTTCCTTCAAATTCTAATATTCCCTCTATAATTTAAAAACTTAAAACTTCTTTACTGTCAGAATGAAAAGCCATGAAGCTGGGAAGTAAAGCAAAGACTTCATTTAGCTAAGCAATCACATCAGCAAATTGGGGTCCTATATTAGTTAATATAGGGTCCTATATTAGTTAGTTATCATGAAACTAAACACCTTAGTTCAAAATTTCTCAAATTGGACTCAGAGTTCTGAGTACCTATTCTTGGAAGTTCATAAGTTTTCAAGTTTATAATCTTAGGACTGTTTCTCCTAGTCTTACTCTACAAATTTTCTTCAAGTGAGGACTATAATTGATTTTTTTTTTCTGATGATGATTAACAAAATTATTAAATGTGAAAAAAAATGGGGGCTACAAAATGACTGTTGTTGTTTTGTCATTAAAACCAGTATACTTTAAATGAGATCCCTCAGACATGAGAATGTAAAGTTGTACTTGGAAGTATATGGGTTCAGTTTAGAAAAATTACCCTACTTGTTTCTTATAGTGGAAAATCAGCCTGCATGTCAAAATCACCTATGAGGTTTTTCAAGACACAAAAGCTCCCCCATTTCCCTTCCTATGGCCCCAGGGTCAAGAATTCCCCCAGACCCTCTCTATGGCTCCAGGGGCAATAGTATGTCAAAAAATTAGAAAAACCTTAGACAGGTGACTTCAATTTGATTGCTTCCCAACTTTTCCACTGATACTATTCTAGAAGATAGACCCTTGGGGAAATTTTGGTGAAGCTGCAACTACCTACGCTATAAAGCTACCTATAATTAAGTATTGAGAATTGGATTTCCCTACCACACCAAAAGCAAACAATGAAAGTTCCGAGGAGCAGCAGGATATTCCTTACCATGCCTGGGCAAGGATTCCGTTGGAACCCTTAAGTAAGGCTTGGGGTTAAGTATACAGGTTGGCTGAATAAGAGTAAAGGCAGGGCTTCTGTTACTGAGAATGCAGCTCAATTAACTATTAAGAACAGAAGCATAACATTAATTAATATTTTTATGTATGTTTTTAATACCAAGGATAATGGCTAAGTTTATGAGATACCTTCCCCCAGTCCCCATAAAAAGGAAAACTGATGCAGTTAGCTGGATATTTCCAAATAGATGGATGTCAGTTATGACTGATAAAATATTTATCTAAATGAATTTTCAGTTTGTACCTGAGAAGTGCCCTTTTTCACAGCCTGAACTCATTTTATGTAAAATTAAAAATAAGTGTTGTAAATGTACTTCAAGCAATTAACTAAATTTATCACGGCAGAAATAAACTTTGGGATATAAATAGCAATTAGAAGGAGCTTCATAGGTTCTCCTGCTCCCCTCATTCATCACTATGCTCAAGTACCTGGGCCCTTCAGATGAGTTTATAGGTGGCTTTGACCTTTTAAAACAGAGGTTTATCAAACTTAAAAAAACAAAAATAGAATTTTTCTTTCAAAGAAAATCATATTGCACATCCTCCCCCAATATGGAAATTAGATTCAAATGGAAGTGATCTGGTTAAAGGCAGGTTTAGAGGGCTCAACTTACTCTGCTTGCCATACACCAGAATCCCCTTTTCTTAGGCTACTGTGTGAGAGACAGTTTCAAAGTAAGAATGGTCTTATTTTTTACTGATTACTTATCACTTTCATACTTGAGAGTGGACTCAATAACCCAAACTGGCTATCAACAGTAAACGTAATGTTCTTTTAAAAAAAAAAAAAATTAAAAAGTCCTTCCCAAAGAAATACAAGAAGCTAATCTGGTGGATGACTAATTGTGATAGCAAAGAGGGGAAAAGTAGTTCAGACTGTAATTTCAAAAAACAACAGAGTTAAATATTTGGAATTAGTTGAAAGAAAAAACTGTACTAGAAATAATCCTAAAAGAGTAGAAACAAAAAAAAGAATGCTAATGTACTAAAATACTAGTAATGTTAAAAAGTAATCAAATTTGAAAATTGGTATGAAAAGGGATAAAAACCTAGTTCAAAATATGTGAAAACACAAAATTGTTTACCTTTGACTCACCTTTAGTTTACCCTAGGGTAGTTTGCCCAAGTTTACCTAGGTATGTTTTTAAAAAGTACTATCTGCAATTTAATTTATTCCTCTCAAATTTAGTAATTATAAAAAGGCATTTCATTGGAGAAGAAAAATTAATCAGAAAAATCACAGAACGAAGAGAAATATTTTTATGATTTACCATAAAACCAAACTGGAATGTTTATTTCCTACTTCCTCTTCCACTTTAGCATCTACTATATGGTAAAATGTATCTTTCAATATGTCCAAAAAGAACTCCTTTATTTTTATGCAGCAATTCATCAAGAATGGGAAAATATTTGGAAACATCTAAAGAGGTCAACAATTCTAATTTGAATCATATACCAGAAAATGATTTGAAAAAGATTTCCCTTCTTCAAGATAAAAATTTAAACTTACCTTCTGTTCCAGTTCATTTTTCCGATAGTTAATAGTAATGGAGTAATAATGTCTGTTTAGTCCATGAATTAATGCCTATATAGATAAATGATTTTAAAAGGATAAATTAATATTTTTCATCTGATAAAATAAATACAAAAGTTTGAAATTGTTGACATATTCTGTATACCTGTTTAGAGAAGGGAGGGAGGGAGGAAGGTAGGTAGGTTTGTTCCAAGTACAAATTAATATAAAGTCTCATATATTAATATAAAAGCATATAGCATAGGCATTACTCTTCCCCCCCTCCCAGGATTATTAATGGCTTCTCTTATATAAAACCTGAAAGTGAAAATAAACTTTTGTCTATTTTTTTTTTTTTGAGACAGAGTCTCACTTTGTTGTCCAGGCTAGAGTGAGTGCCATGGCATCAGCCTAGCTCACAGCAACCTTAAACTCCTGGGCTCAAGCGATCCTACTGCCTCAGCCTCCTGAGTAGCTGGGACTACAGGCATGTGCCACCATGCCCAGCTAATTTTTTATATATATATCAGCTGGCCAATGAATTTCTTTCTATTTATAGTAGAGACGGGGTCTCGCTCTTGCTCAGGCTGGTTTTGAACTCCTGACCTCGAGCAATCCACCCGCCTAGGCCTCCTAGAGAGTTAGGATTACAGGCGTGAGCCACCGCACCAGGCCTGTAACTTTAGTCTATTACTACTTCAACATTGTCATTAGTGCTTTAAAAATAACATTTCTTTTTAAAGAGACAGGGTCGCACTCTGTCACCCAGGCTAGATAGAGTGTAATAACGCAATCATAGCTCACTATAGCCTTGAATCCCTGGGCTCAAGGGATCCTTCAGCCTCAGTCTTCCAAATAGCTAGGACTATAGATGCATAACACCACACTCAGCTAATTTTTCTTTTCCTTTCTTTCTCTTCCTTCCTTTCTTCCCTCCCTCCTCCTCCTCCTCCTTTTTTTATTAGAGACAGGGTCTTCCTATGTTGCCCAGGCTGGTCTCGAACTCCTGGGCTCAAGCAATCACACCTGACCTAAAATTAACATTTTCTAAAAGCAACTTATGTTTCATTGTAAAAAGTTTAATAAATAGCTATAAGAAAAAAAAAATTACATAATTCTACCACCCAAAGGTAATCGATACTAATATCTTGGTGTAAAAATATAGGTACAGTTTATAAAATACATATTTACAAAACGGAGAACTTGTAAATCTTATTTTATAATCTTTTTCTTACTTAACATATTTCGTACTTTCCCCAAATTATTTTTAATTTTTTTTTTTCTGGAGACAGAGTCTCACTCTGTTGCCTGGGCAAGAGTACAGTGTCATCATTACAGCTCACTGCAACCTCAAACTCCTGGACTAAAGTGATCCCCTACCTCAGCCTCCCAAGTAGCTGGGACTACAGGTGTGCACCACCACACTCAGCTAATTTTTCTATTTTCTGTAGAGATGGTATCTTACTCTTGCTCAGGCTGGTCTTGAACTCTTGAGCTCAAGCAGCCCTCCTTTCTTGGCCTACAAAAGTACTAGGATTACAGGCGTGAGCCACCACACCCAGCCATCCATCCTCAAATTATTAAATAGTAGTCTATAATGTAATCATATTTTTTTCTTTATTACTTTAAGTACAACAGTAAAGAAATCAGTGACCACCAGCACGTGTGTGTGCTGATGGCTGCTGTCAAGCTTCTATCTCTACTACTTGAAAGTTAGTTTAAGAGCAAGGCCCCTCTTAACAACAGCTAACTAACTTCCCCTTCAAAATAAAAGGCATGGCATTTCTGGAAGCCTTCTGATCCCTGAATTAAATACTCTGTTAAAATACAATAAAATTCTATTATGGATATTACCTTTCACTTCAAGCTCTTCTGAGTTGCTTTCTTTCTAGCTTGTCTTAGAAAAATAAGAAAGTGTTTTAAGGTGTGGCTTTGTTCTATCACATTTTGGCTTGATCCCATTTTGTGTTTTTGTATTAAAATTATCTTAAAACTATAAAGCACTCAGATAGATGTCATTCTGATGGGCGCTATATAAACTGTGAAATAAATATATTTACAGATTCTAATTGGAAAGCAAAGCAAACTAAAATGAAAGGAAAAATAATGATGTAGCAGTTACTTACACAAATTGTTTACTTAGGTTTGAAACCTGCCTCATAAGGTCTACCTTAAATTACAGACTATGAGGTAGGATTAAAAAATATAAACTAGAGTGATGTCGAAAGAAACAGATTTTAGTATCGATTATATTCAATTTTTAAGGTTAAAAAGCACTGTTTTAATTTAAAAAATGAAATCTGCAACAGGTGGCTGGTGACTTGCAATTACTAAAAACTTCTGGCAGAAACATACCATCTAGTAATCACAATGATCTTGGATTGTGAGATGCTACTTAACCTTTTGCAAAAAATAATGAAGTAGTATGATGCTATGGGGGTTTATAAGAAAGGTCATTATCACAGGCTAAACAGGTCCAGTAATATATTCTCTTGGAACATGCAAGTAGAGGCTTGTCTATATCCAATCAAAATCACTGGTAGCTTATTTCATACTCATTATACTTTGCAGTTTTCCCTGACTTGTAAAAATTTTTTCAAAAGCAACACACCTGAATCCTTTGAAACAAAACATTTCACTTTGATAAAGATTCAGATGAGTGACTGCTGTAAAATTAAGCATTTGAAAGTATAGTCATCAAAGTATAACCAAGGCTTAACCACAGTTAACTGACAAAGCCACAACTCCCCAAAGACAACCTTATGACTGAGCAAAGTTTCAGAAGAGGGGAAGCAATAGGTACTATAAAGTCTTTGTCTGTCTTCTATTTAACCAAACATGGTATTTCTGTCCTTTAATTAATCTTCAGAGAAGTAATTAACTAGTAGACAAAGCCAGTGGTACATTTAAAAACAAATTTAAAATACTTTTTGAAACAATAAAGGTATGTATAAAAACAAGACATGTGAATGATACAAAGAAAAAACATTAATCACTCAAGAGAATATTAAGTATCTGAATATCAATAACTTCAATAATGGTGGTTAATATCACTAGAAAGAACAGGATACAAACTCTCATCAACGGTAATATATAGATATGTTTTACAGGACTTTTTTTTAAAGGTGAGGATTTTTTTTAAAAAGTAGAAAATTTTAAGTACTATTTGAGAATTGTTTCTGAATATCTCTTAAAATATACAGCAATTTTCCCATTATTTCCTGCTATAAGAAATGCCTACTTATCCATCGATGATGATAGCTAATGCCCTCCACCAAAAACTCCTATCGGTCCTTTTCTACAATGTTATGCAAGGCCAGAAGGTAAAGGATTTATTATGCTCCCCAAAATGGTATCCTCAAAACACGGTAGGAAAATTTAAATAACCCATTAAAAACTGATTCACATATGTGCAAATCTAACTTTTGTAACAGTATTTCCATAATTCTCTTTTAAGACATAATAAAAATTGCAAGCAAATTAAAATGCTAACATTTAGATCTTAAAATGACTAATTATACCTGGCTTTTAACATGTAAAACCGAGTTTTAACACATTATCAAATATAGGAATTACCTGAATAGATGGCTTGTTTAAGTGACCCAGATTTGAAGTTGTTTGTCTTGGTTCATGTCCTAAGACCATCATATTAGCATTGATCAATCTGAAGGCATCAATAACAACCTGTAAAAACAAGGTGTCAAGTCAATTCTTTTTTAAAAGCAAGTGATGATGCCAAGCAACAGTGGACAAGGCATGATCAACTTGCATCTGTTTCTGGACTATTTCCAGAAAATCATTTAATTATAATATTAATAAAAAAGAACCTCCTGCTGACTATGCCATCAGCACACCACCCTCTATCTTGTAATGTAAGGTGACACCAATTACTGCAATTTTCATGAAGCAGGAAAGAAAAATATTAACTTTGCATCTTTATTATTGAAATATGTCATTACTAAACTTACACCAAACAGCCTTCATTGGTGTGCATATGTTTGTCACCTAAATTTTACCTAATCAAAATGAATGACAGAGAAACTAAAACTGAAAGTGAGCACAAGTTAAGGGACCACATCTAAAGCCCAGGCCTGTCACATCAATTATACCACCACAGAACTTGAAATGACAACAAAATTACAGCTAGCAAGGCACTTGCCCACATATTCTCTTCTAGTCAGATACCTTTTACTTCTCGTGACTATGAAAGACTTTATACCTTGTCTGATGGCCTTAAATGTCCAAGCCACTGTCAAGCATGGGGGGCACGATATAAGAAAAACAAGGTCACCCATGCTTTAATCCAGGAATATGGTATAGAATGATATGCTCCTAAATTCATAGTAAAGAAATAATAATAGGTATCTTCTTTTTGTGTGTATAAAATAAAGTCAAATTCTTCCATGATACAATATCATCTGTTAGCTCTTAACATATTAAAAGATTAACAAGAATCACATATTTGTTAAAGCTTTTAAACATTATAAAGTTTTATGTAAAGCCATGTGACTTTGAGACTGATTGCCTCATTAAGGAAATTTAACTTAATACATTTGTCACATAAAACAATCTTAAAACAAGATAATATAGTACGTAATAGTAGATTTGCCTTTTTTTTTTTTTTTAAGAGACAAGGTCTCACTATGTCATCTAGGTTGCTGATCCTCTCGTCTTAGACTCCCAAATAACTGAGACTACAGGTGCATGCACCATCACACCTGGCTAATTTTTTGTTGAGACAGAGTCTCCCTAGGTTGCTCAGGCTGTTCTCAAACTCCTAGCCTCAAGCAATCCTTCCACCTCAGCCTCCCAAAGTGCTATGATTACAGGCATGAACCACTATGAAGGGCCTAGATTTGCCTTTAAAAGAGCTGAACAACTGACATGTATCAACATTTTGAAAGCAACTGTCAACTAGATTTGTTCTCATTTATACAATTATCTTTTAAGAATACTAAGAAACATAAAATAATATTTATTCTCAGGTTAAGACAACTAAAATCTAATCAAATCTGAAAAATCTGTGGTAAGCATTATTACATACTATATGCTAAAGAACAAGATTTAAAGAAACAAAGAAAAAAAAAATCACCCTTTCTAAAAGGCTACCATGATGGGTCTGAAGACAATAAGAAAGAATACAAATTTAGACCAAAACATTATGACAAGTAAATCAATCTAAGGCTCTGCCTACTCCAGTTGGCCTAAAATATCAGCTTAGAACTTTGCTTTTATTTCGAACAGTTCAAATTTTCCCTGAGTCAATCCTCTTGCCTCAAAATTAAGTATCCCCATAACATGAATGATTTCTGAAAATTCTTTTTTCTTTTTATACAATAACCTTAATCCAGACTTGACTTTTACATTTATATATAAATAAATATGCCTAGGTTGCTTATACTTAAATTTCTAATATTTTTTTTCCCATAAAGCAATAATAAAAACAGGTACTAATATCAGAGATACTTTAATCATATATTTTAATAAATAACTTAAAACAATTGCTTAAAAAATACAGAAGTAAATTTCTCACATTTTGTACTAAAACACATAAAATAAGATCAAGTTAAAATGTGGGTAAAAGAGAGGGGAAGCGATCATTTGGACAGATAGGTATACAATTTAAATACAGAATAAGAAATACCACCCTATTAATTCATTTTGGTCCAACTGTTTTATGATTCCATTATAAATTTCAGTAAAATCAATTATAGAAAAAATATTTCCATAAAACTATGAAAATTTCATTGTATATCACGACAAAAGTCCTGTACTATTTTATACTGAATGCTTCCAAACTAAAACAGCAGATAGCTACATGTACCTAGAGAAGTCTCTATACTAATTTCCCTGGAATATTATAAGTAGATGTGAAACTTCATAAAAGAAATTAAAGTATCAGTTAAATAGATATCATGATCTGTTAAAAACAAATCTGAAATAATTTTTTCAATTCTGTTAAGAAATTAAGAGAAAAATTCAAGGACTTAATAAAATGACATGCTTAGATTGACAATTCCTGAGTAGCTACATGATAGCCAACAGAAAATGATTACTTAACACTAAGATTAAAGGAATTTGCTGCCATCACTATAGCAACTGTCTTAAGGAAACTAACATGTTCAGCAACCTGCAGACCAAAATTAGATTTAGTATGCAATAAAATATAAATACGGCAATATAGTCCATATTGTAATTTCTGCACAATTTTATAATTGCTTTTTGTGCTGTGAGAATAAGTGGGTTTCTCCTTTAGAGCAACCTATCAAAATAGACTCATTAATGTCCAGTGTACTAATGAGCAATGGGTGAAGGAGGTGTTAATTATGCCACAGTAAGATTCAAGAAAAAGCCCTAGTGAGCACTTGGAGGTGTGTATAAGCTGAAGGCCTTTCTCCATGTTTGTGTATTTACAGCAGGATGCAACAGAATGACAGCAAAATGGTCACTCCATGGTTAAGAACAGAAATTTTAGACACACATTACTGAACAAAGACCCCCGCCCCCAGCATTAATTAAGATATGGGTGGGTGCAAGGGACAAGGGAAATAATTCTTTGGAGCTATGAATTTTCTAAACAGTTCATTTTGAAGTATATATACATTAAATTAGTTCAGTTTGCTTTATAAACTCAAACAGTATTAAATAAAAAACTTTGTACAAAAATTACTGCCCTAATATGTAATAACAAAAACCTCCAAGATAAAGCTTGAAGAATATTTTCAGGAATATGATGCTAGACTTTCTATGCCGAAGTTCTGCATACCACATTGAATCTCTCTCTATTCACCAGCCTGACCATTTAATTTTTTCTGGTACAAGTGCCTTGAGACTTTTCTGAGGTCACTGCAACAGTAGACAGCTTATAACAAAACCATTAGCAGTTTGGCTAGCTTAGGGAAACCTCTTACTTTCCTTTTTTGTTTATTATCACTGCATGAATCTGCAGCATATGATAGTTTATAATTTCTCAGGCTTGTTAAATTCATGTTAAAGGTCTGTTTTCTTGTTGAATAAATTTTGTTCATATAATGCTGCCTATTTCATACACTCAGTCTTTAATAGCACCTTTGGTCTATGCGCAACTCACAGATCAAAACAGAGGACTAAAATAGGGGTTGATGATGCTATTTACATGTGTGATTCCTGCTGTCTTCTTGTTAGTAGCTTTAATATAATAGAAGACCTTGTCTGTTTTGTAATTAACACATCTTTACTGGAGAGATATTTGGAAGTGATTGCTGTGAATATACTGGTTAGTAAAATAAACACAATCACACACCACTTTCTGTTATCAGACAAATTTGTGAATTGTACACATTATACTCCAGATCAACAAACTGTGATATAACAGCCAAGTAGAAGACACATATTTATATAACCCTTTATTTTTCTGAAAATATGTATTCACTCTGACCTTGCAAATATAATTAGCTTGTGGGATGTGCAGATTTCAGTACCATGGTTGCTTTACTAATTGCAACTCTTGGAAATAGATACTAAATATTTGGAAGCTGCCAATACAAAATAAAAACTGCATGTTTTTTGTACATCTGTCTTAGATTATAAAAGCAAAATAGTTTTTAAAACAATACTGAGTTCCATATTTATTCCAAGCACACCCAAGGGTCAAGGACCTATCATTTCATTTCAATGACTAATTTGGTTTAGGACTTAAAACACTAATTTTCAAATTCAATTTAATCCATAATTTCTTGGCTTCTTTCATGAGTATGGTACAGTTCATCCAATATGCTATCTATTTTTAAATTCATGTTTTCATATCAACTGCTAGGTCACTGCAAGATTAGACTAAATTTCTAAAGCACCAATCTATAGTTCCCCATTTTTACATTCAAATGAAGCTATTTTTTAAATAAAGCTCTTCAAATTAGTTTAATACAAAGGTGTTTCAAAGAAAAATGCAGAAACACTTCTGAGAGTAATTACTATAATTCATACTCTCTTTTTCTCTCTTTTTAAATAATGGCTGCCTTGGGCATTTCCAATTGTACTTATATTGAAGCCAATGACTACAGAAAGTATTTAAGACAGAATAGGACCAATGTTTTAAGAACTTATAATGCGTTCATTTTTCTTGAGCTTAAAAAACCTAAGCAATCTGAATCTTCCATAACCTTAGAGGTCAGCTCACTATAATATATATAAGATGAATTGGAATAAAAGTAAAGCTTCAACAATTTTAAGACCTCAAAATCAATGTCAAATACTAAAAAAAAAGAGAAAAAGCGAAAACTCAGTTGCCAGTTAGGTTACATATTTTAACACACAGAAACCCACCACCACATAAAGTAAATCTCTAAATTACTATAAAAATGATAGGTGTGGAAAGAAAAGCAACACCCTATATCAAATATCCTTTATCACCTCGAAATGACCTATTATCAACTGCTTAGGTTGTTTCTAAATTCTTTAAAAATTAAGGGTGCATGTGACCTGGGAAGTACTGCTGGGGTTTGTGACCATTTCGTTACTTCTGCTGCCATGCACTGCCAGACATCTATAAGAGAAAAACATCTTATGTCTCTTGTAAGCCCACAGCATAAAAAATTCAGAGAAATCTTACTTTTTATGCCATTTCCAATGAAAAGCACTAAGAACTAAAACTGACTCATGCCAAATGCATATCACTGAATTGCTGTGATTTCTTAGTCTCAAGTTTG